ACATACATACATACAGACGTACGGACATCATCGTAAAAAATAGTCAGGGAAGCTTCTTGTGACCTTCAAACGTCGAGATTTGATGAAAACTCGATTTTTGTAAAACGGGGTGAAAACAATAACTTCCCGATTTTTGAAAATCTGAGATTTTTAGCGGGAAGTTAAAAATTCGATTTTTGATGATTTTTGAAATTTTAAAAAATTTGGAGAGACCTCTTCAAAATTTTTTTTTGAGCTGTCCTTTGGTGAGGGCTCTTAAAACATCAAAAACTAACATTTTTTCACTCGAGACTTAAAAAAAAAAATAGTCGGTTTTTTTGCGCCACCCTACTATACAATTACCGCATTAATGCCCAAATTTTACCCGAAAAATTCCAAGTAATTACTGTAATAATACAGTAATTTTGCCGAATATTTTCTGATATAATGGACAATTATTAAAGAATTGGTTTCATTTTTAGTTCACTTCTATGTTAAAAATGAATAAAATGAAAAATTTCCAATTTTGCTTTTTATTCTCCATCGCTACTTTGCAAAAACGAATACTGTTTTTAATAAATACTATGTAGAATATTATTTTTAATTAAGTAGTTAGCGGTAATGAATAGTTATATTGTTTCACATATATAATTATATTATTTAATTTTAAAAATGATTATCGTAAGATGGACGGTGTGGCTTAATCTATGTAGAATATGCACAAATAAAATTTGGTATAGACCGGGTAGCTCAAATGGTAGAGTAGCCGGCATGTCTTCGGGAGGTTCTGGGTTCGAATCCCAGTCCGAGCATTTTCAATTTTACACCATTTTTTGAATATGGTTTTAATACAGTCGTTTTACCACCTTATTACCATAAGTATGCCGCATTTTCAGCGTAAATATTCTAAATTTTTAGAGTAAATGTATAGCATTTAGAGAGTAAGTATTCCGTATTTTTGCGCAAATATTTTTCATTTTGAGCGTAAATTATTCGCATTTTTACGGTAAATGTTCTGTAATATTTCGATGAAAAAACTGACCAAAACAACCGAAAAAATCCTGAAAAAATACCGCATTAATATTGTATAACTACGACATTTTTTCGGCATTTACAAAACCGCTAGGGAACCTAAAAAACAAATCGGAACTTTCGACCGGGAATCGAACCCAGAACTCTTAGTTGATAACCAGATACTCTCCCGCTACGCTATCCGAGATAAACTACTACGAATGTCATTCAGCACTTAAATAAACTCGCAGTCTAGTGATGTGCACGGCCACTCCAAAAACTAATCAGCTGTTAACCTTGAAAAACCATGTCGATCGCCGCTAAATCCGGTCAAAATCGGTTGATTTGTTCGAGAGATATCGTGAGCAAAAATTTTTAAAAAAAGTGTTTTTTGACATAACTTCGACATTTCTTTTCGGATCGTTTTTGATGAAATTAGATAATTATTTATTAGAGCCCAAACAACCACGTCGATTGCCGCCAAGAACTTGAAAATCGGTTGATTGGTTTGAGAGATATCGTTGACGAAAAATTTGAGAACAAGTGAATTTTTCAAATTTCTCCAAAATTTAGGAGTTTTGGTTTGATCAATTTATATTTAAAAGTAAATCATAAGATTTTAAAAATTGCGTCAAATGCTTCCAACCGCGTGAAAATTGGTTTATTCATTCAAAAGTAATTGCAGTTTGAAAACTTTAACAATATATAGTGTTTTTTTTTTATTAAACTTCTATCAGGCTTTTGAGCTCGAAAGCATAGAACAGCTAACTCTATCAGCTCGGAGCTCAAAATAACACATCAATTGATATTTTGAGCTCGAAGAGCTCAAAAACGTCATAAGTTCAATTTTAAGTGTGCTTAGGTATGGAATTAGCGGGAAGTTGCAGGGATGGCCTTCAGGGTCAATCGTTTTCATAATTTTTTTGCCGTGTATGCATCTTACCGTTCACTTATGATGACGGATATCTTGTCAGCTCGGACAAAAAAAAGAAAAAACGGTACAAAGAAGGACCGTTAAGTTTGAATAAAAGCTTCCGGAAAAAGCAAAAATGGCGATTGAATTAAGACTAGAGACTTTCTCTTGACTAAATGCATAGAAAAAAATAATATTCGACTCATTTCTTTAACAATTTTCTTTACTCTGTTATGCTTATAATGAGATAATTAAATGACAACTTAGCTATTGAAAATAGCTCTTTACCGTAAGATAAACGGGTAGCGTCCCTCAGCGAGTCTTATTAGATGACTGAAAAGTAGTTGCGAAACATGTCTCGGATATCTCACTGGGAGAGCTCTTGGCGCTTAACAAATGACAAATTAGCTATTAAAAAAAAAATAACAGGTATACCAATAAAAGATAGATTAATTACTCGAGCATTCTATACTGAGAAAAAAAAATACTTTTACTAAGAAAATTTTCTTGATACAATAATTCATGTTCTTGAAAATTTTCAAGAATATATATTCTTAGCTCAAAAACTTGTTAAATTGATTGAAATAATTTTTACTTAATTTAAATAAAGCTATTCTCTTGTTTATCTATTATCCATTATCCAAAGATAAATATTGATGCTCTTCTCTTCAGAAATTAATAATTAATAATAATAGAATATTTGATCGTCATCGAATTTCTTGAACCAAGAAATTGATAATTGAGTAAAAGTATTTATTTTTCTCAGTGTATATCTTTCAAATTATACATTTAATTAACATTAATAAGAGTTTAATTTGTTTTTTCATGGTAACCTTGTCTAGTTTGCTGTAAAATGAATCCAGTATTCTTGATAAAAATAAGAGTTTAAATATAAATATGATCGATGGTTTCTCTATATGTCGCAATAATTACTTTTTATAAAATATAATTGCGATTTTTAAAAATTAGACGAAAGACAATTACCCCGAAAGTTATAATATTTATAAATTAATTTTTCAATTCGAAAAAATATAATATTTTTAGTCAATTTTAAAATATTGAGTCCGAAATGATTAATCGAGCGCAAGACGCTTAATTTTTTGAAAGTTCTTCGAAAATAATTCATATAAAATTTTATTTTCAGTCAGAAGCACGTGCTCTTCTTGATAGTAATGGCGCACGAACTGGAATCGTAGGACATGCAAAAAACTTACGTTATGAAGTACAAAAAAAAATTACAAAACTGAGACAAGATCGAGCTTCTTCAGACGCTTTTCCATGTAATACCAGTAGTGTTGAAAGTCTCCCAAGTGGAAGTGGATCTAGTACACAAGCTTTGGTACGAGCTGACAGTAATCATAGTTCTATATCATGTGACGATCGTGATGCTGTTAGTCCAACGCCTATTGGACCAATACTTTGTCGTGCTCGTGCCATTGTTGATTATACACCGAGTCCTTATGATAAAGATGCTTTAAATTTCAAGGTAATGAATGTCTTATTATTATACAATAGAGCTTCTAAATATTCAAACTGTTGAAGTGAAAAATTTTAAACTGTGCCAATAAATAGTAAAACACAGTAGAAATATGGGAGGAAACTTATGCAAGGGAGGTCTAGATCAAAATACTTGAGTATTCAGGAGCTCTACTGTAATGAGCTTGATAGATTTTATTTCTATTAATAATCAATTGATTTCACTATTTTTAACAGAAAGGCGATGTGATCGATGTAGTACAGATGAATAAAAGTGGTTTGTGGAAAGGAATTACGCACAATCGAATTGGATTTTTTAAATTTATAAACGTAGAAATATTGAATGAAAGAGTTCCGCGTTGCAGTGGTGAACTTGAAAAAACTAAGTGGAATCGGAAGCCCAGACATAAACCAAGATCAGTTCAAGAACTTTTACAAAGAATGAACTTACAAGTAAGTACGAAAGAACTGAATAAGCCCACTATTATTACAAATATGATCTATGAAGTGCTAAATAATTCATATAATTGTAGAAATTTTACATAGCACTAAAACCTGGTCCCATGATTGATTGAGTAAACTTTCTCAAAACATAAGTCAAGTTAAAATTTTACAATATATAAAATACATTAGTTTATTATTATAATAACTGTTACATTTTCTGCATTAAATGCATAGGATTAAAGTTTAGGATTTATTTATTATTTAATATTGAACTGAAACTTCATTTTTATAAACTATATATAATGCCGACTACGTGGCCGACCGGTTTAAGTCTTAAACTGCCCGTACAACAGTCGCTCAGGCGTGGGTTCGAGCCCTGGCAGTCGCAATTTTTCTGCGATTTCCAAGGCTTGCTCCCTTGCCGACTGTATCCTGGCCAGGTTTCTGTGGTTTCCTCGGTCATTGTGCTAAGGGTGGGGCACAGGCAAATGCGGGTACAGTCTGCAAGACGGCCACAGCCGCGGATAGGAGGTTAAGATGTGTATTTAGGCACATCAAACACAATAAATAGTAGGAAGGGACGTAAAAATCCTACGTGTCTAGGCCAGAAGGCTGACGCGTAAGACTCCAAAAAAAAAGTCTCAATAAACACTTTTTAACGCCATGTCGCTCACCTTAATCGGTTAACGTGTTTCAAAGATATCGTACGACAAAATTTTATTTTTACCCATGTACTGAAAAAGAAATTTCATGTTCAGCGCGATCTACTGTATAATTACAAGGGTCTCGTTACGGGAACGATCTGTTTAGCTTTTAGTAACAATCTCGATCGTTACCTTAGCACAACTTTTTGTTCAGTGTACGTACACGGAGAGAAAATCCTATGAAAAATTACAATGGTAACATAGTAATTTTTAGTATAAAACATTGTAGTGCCGGACCAGAACTCAAACAATATAATTTATGCGATGCAACATTGTAAATTTCTATCACTCAAATTAAAAAGAAGTGTAGGTCATCGAAAAAATAATTCTGTTTCACCGAGGAATCAAACCCGGTGCCCTCTCCGACACAAGCCCAAGGTTTATCCCCTTACGCTATC